CATTTTAGGCACACAAAAATGTTATGTTTGTACATGAGTCCTACTTTAAAAACTATATGTTTTTGTTTTTTATTTCAGAGAAGGGAGAAATAGAAACATCAATAATGAGAATTATTGATCATCCCTCCTGCATGTCTCCTCCTGAGATCAAGCCAGCAACCCCCGCATGTACCCTGACTGGAATCAAACCACTCATCTACTGAGCAGCACAGCAGTGCCATTTGTCCTACTTTTAACAGCAAAATTTTCCTGTTTGAATTCTGCTTTAGCAAACATTGATGCAATTCAATTACATTTTAAAATGCATTCAGTAGAATGCAATGTTATGTTTTTAAAATATGTTTTTAATGATTTCAGAGAGAGGAAAGGAGAGGGAGAGAGGAACAGAAATAGAAACATTAATGATGAGAGAGAATCATTTACTGTCTGCCTCCCGCACACCTCCTACTGGGGATCAAGCCTGCAACCCAGGCAGGTATCCTGATGCGGATTGGTGTGTGACTTTCTGGTTCAACCACTGAGCCATACCAGTTGGGCACATGCAATGTTATTTCTGAAATGGACTATCAACACTTGCCATTTCAACATGTTTCTCTTTGTAATATTAGAGTTAGTAATTTAACTTAGTCTACTAATTTGAAAAGGAGTGCATCGCAGCAATATGGAAAATGGGAAACAGAAGCTGTTAGGAAATACATTTCTGTTTTCCATATTGGTTACTCACTGAAAGACAAGATAATTACACACTTCCATTTTTTATCTAAGGTTTTTGTATCAAATGGGGAGGAAAAAAGGAAGATCTCTTGGTCTTAGGTTTTTGTTTCCAGGTATATCCAAAGTTACAATAATTACCTAAAATATGATCATTCTATTCTGAAATGCTGAACAGAAAATCCCATTCCAATAACCTGTTTTAACATTTAATAAGAATTAGATTCTTTTTCTTAGACACTCAAATAAAACTATTTTCATTGTACTGCCTTTCCTTCCAAGTTTTCCTCTTTCAGCAGAATATCCTTTTAGTATTTCTTTATAGCAAATGTAGTTATGTTATCCTCCACCTTTTCAGGTTAAATACCCCCAAAACATAACTTTTTATATTCCTCTTTAACCTTGTGATAATTTTTAATGGAACGATAATCTTAAGAATCACGTTATCCACTTTTTTCACTGTGTAGCTAATAACTTAATGAATTCAAAAAGGACTTAAATACAAGTATTAGCCACAAAATTTCCTAGCACTAGAAATTTAACTTCTGTCAATATGTCAATAAAATAATAACGAAGTGAAAAACATTGCACGAGTGAGCCATTTAGCTTATAACATATAGTGACCATGAGGTTTATTTTTCTTTATTTAGGTCAAGGATAGAGGCAGTTGTAGACATACTGTACTCCTTTCTGTCTGCTCATGTCTCATCATGAATCTACACAGATTATTTTTAATGGTTGCACTTTCTTACACTTATCTTTTGACTCATTGTCATAACAAATGGCAAACCAACTATACAGAACAAAGTAACTTAAAAATAAACATACTCCTCTAACTGATAAAATTCAACACATACCATTCCTGTGGTGTTTTTTTTTTTTTTTAAGGAAAACCTAACTCACAAAATAAGCACACCTACAAACTTAAGACTTTTCTACTTGATGTAAGAGATAACTCAAAGTTATGCTTATCAGGTCAAAATCCAATGGGCTAAACTAACTTGATATGTGAGGTTTGCAGCATATTATTCCAGTAAGTAATGCATTCAACTTGGCATTGAGTTCCAAACCAGAGCTTGATATTTTGTTAAGAGAATTTAAAATATTAACATTGGTATTTTACCCACAATTACATTATTGTGTTAGCATGCAACTCACTACTTATTTTTTGAAAGAGGTCAAGAAGGGAATACAAAGAAGTTGTCAAAAAGTGTCTGAACCATTAGAAATCTTTGATTTTGCTACTACCCACACAATCAGTTTCCTCTAAGCCTTGTTTCTTAATCAATAAAACAAAAGAGTTGAACTAGGTTTCTCTAAAATATTTCTCATCCCTGTAAAGAACCATGCATCTGAAAGTTCTACTATAATAGATTTTATTGAAAACAGGATCCTATCACATCACTCTTTTCAATGTTTCAAATGCAGCCTGAACAACTATCCTGAAACATCCAACCAGATCAATACAATATCTATCAATACAAACCAATCCACAGAATTCAACAGATTAGTGAAATAGCAGGAAATATCCATCTCTTTGGTATACACACTTAAACTATTACTTCTGTATTTATATAATGTCATTCTCTCTAAGGTAAAAGAGAAACTGGTCTTCTAATAATAGACAAGTCTCAAGCTCTTTAAAGGGTATTTCTCTATTTGAACAGCATCTAAGATTCAATAATGCAATTTTCCAAACAAACACAAAAAAACCAGCCTTGCACCAACTTAAGCTCTATGTTTGCAAAATAGAATAAATGGCAAGTGGTACTTCTGGACAATTCAGTTGTTCTCTCCTAACTAAATTTATAACCAGCCTTGAAAGCTGTTTTCCTTCAGCTGCCTTAAATTACAACTTCTTTATTCATATCAAAATTTTCTAACTTCCATTTCAGAGAGTACACAAGAGTTACAAAAAAAAAAAAAAGAAAGAAAAAAGAAAAGAAAAAAAAGAAAGCCTGCTAACTAGTAAGGCTAACCCTTAAGTTTGTTGTCAGCATGGCATGTTTTACTGAACTCTGGGGTTACACAGCCTCCAGGTGAAGAACGAGGTCCTGCAACGCCGCCTGTCTGTGGACCCGGGAAAAATTACAAACAGTTATGAAACCAGATCACTAGGACAAACCAAGAGGCCTTCCTATTCCAACTCACCACAACCGAGCCTGGCTCCAAGTAGGCACTTTAGTTGTCCCATATCGTCTGGAAAAACATAACCTAATTCTTCCTCACTGAGGAAGCACCTGAAGAGGTAATGCGAATGCACATGGAAGGATCAAGTGTAATTCTCACCCTCTGCATTTTATATAAACGTATATGGATAGAAGATCAGTTTATGCAAAAGCCTTGAAACATGGAGGAAGTGAAGGTTACTTATGGCAGCCACAATTAGGAGAAAGACCTGTGACAGAACAATATGGAAAAGTACAGCTTCTCACGTGTCCCTCACACACACAAACACAACTCTCAATCCATTGCAACCTTACCTCCCCCCCAAAACAAAACAAAACAAAAAACTGCTCCTCGAACCTCACACCTGGGAGAAATTTACCCACTTCCAGTCATCTCCCCCACCACCCCCCAGACTCGCCTACCCATCATCTTCCTCCTGCAGATTGGCTCCCGCCCCCGCCCCCGCCCCAGGCCGACCCCACCGGGTGTTGCCAATAGGGAATCTAACCAATTTTTTCCTCCCCATCCCAGGGTAATGAACTGCTCCCTTACTCCGTGGGCTCTGCGGTCCTCCCACCCCCACGTGTCAGCTACCCTCCCCCATGGTGGCCCCATACCTCGCGATTCAGACCGGGGAAAGAAAAGAGGGCAGGGGGAGCCTGGCCCCCGAGATACATCAGCCCGCAGGAATCTGCCCCCCTTCGCCAGTGCCCCCCCCACCGTCGGCCCCTACCCTCTGCAGCCCCTTCCTCCTCCCTCCTCCCTTTCGAGCAGGCCCTTGCCTCAGAAACCTCCTCCTCCTCCTCGTCGTCGTCGTCGTCCTCTTCCTCGCTGTTGTTGCTGCTGGTGCCGCCGCCGCCTCCACCAACGCCGCCTCCACCGCCGCCGCCGCCACTGTTGTCGCTGTCGCTGCTGCTTTCGCTGCTGCTGGGGGGTCGGCAAGTCCGGTTTCGCTTGGCCTTGTGGTGCGGCTGCTGCTGCTGCTGCGGCGGCGGCGGCGGCTTCTTCTTGAGGAGCAGGTCGCAGACTCGCACCATCCCACGAGGAGAGGAGGCCGAGCGAGCCCCGCTGCCGCCGCCGACCTCCGCCGCCGCCGCCGCCGCCGCCGCGGGGGGGCCCGCCACAGCCGCCGCCGCCGGGGGGCTCCCTTCTTCAGCAGCAGCAGCAGCAGCAGCAGCAGCCGCCGCCGCCGCCGCCGCCGCCGCCGGAACCGTCGCCTTCTCCATCCCCAGGGAAAGAGGGAGGGCGCGGGCGGGGGAGGGGCGCGGGGGCTACACTCTACCGCGACTCGGGCTGCACCGGGGCCAACACAGCGCTCGGTGCCGCCTCCGCCGCCACCGCCTCGGTCACCTCTACTGCCGCCGCCGCCGCCGCCGCTCCGCCAGCTCTCACCTCGTCTCGCGATACTAAGGGCGGGGAGCCTGGCGTAGGAAGGGAGGGAGGAGGGAGGGAGGAGGGAGCGTCAAGGAGCAAGGGGGGTGGGGGCGGTGAGACGTACAGGAAGACCCGGGTGTCGGGGCACTCGGAGGAGGGGAGCCCGCCGTGCAGCGAGGTTGAGCGCGCCTCGGACGGCTTCCGAAGAGCAACCGTGGGGACAGAGCGGGCCGCGGACGCTGCCGTGGCGCCCGCGAGCGCCCCAGTCTCTCCTCTTCCCTCGCTAATTTCCCTCACTCACTGCACTCAGCCCTGCCGTCTTCCTGCCCCACTTGAGCCCTGAACGCAGCCGCGGGCGGAAGTGCCGTGACGCCATCAGCCGGCGCCCGGACGGCGGCGCGCGCGTGGACGCACGGGGAGATTTCAAGGGCCAGTGCGCGGCTTCCCCCGGGCGGCTGCGTGCTCCTCGGCGTGCGGCCCGGGGCTGCGGGGAGCGGCTCCCGACCTGCCGAGGGGGCCCTGGGGGCGGGAGCGCGGTGCAGACAGGGGGTTAGCGGGAGGCCCGGACCTCCAGATGCGGGAGGTGGGGCCTCGTTTTGCACTGTTGTGCATAGTTTCGTTCTTGCCTCCTCTCCTTCTCTCCCCCTCCCCCCTCCCACTCCTAACTCGCGGCCAAATCGTAAGTTTGCGCTTTGGCTCTGGAGAGACGGCCTAAGGGAGAGAGAGAGCCCTCTTGGCCGGGTTTACTTCTCGAACCTGAGTTTATATGCTCGTGTAAATATGAAGAGGAGTTCGATTAGGTGATGTCTGGATCCCTGCAAAGCTAAAAGTTCCAAAGGGTAGAAGAAAACAAGATCGGGGCCAGACTTTGCAGAAGACGGTTCCCGGAAGGACCCCGGTTTAGTCCTTCCTCCACCCTCCACCGAGTCTGCCTGTACCTGTGAAGTGTGTGCATCCTAAACAGTCAACCTTGTCCATGCACCTCTTAGGAAGGCATATTGTGTGATGGGGGTTGTGAGTTTATTGGTGGTGTCTAAAGAACCCCCAGAACTTTCAAAATAATAGCGTAGTTTATTCAACACGGGATTAATCGTTTTCTGATCCAATAAGAGCACAGTGGCATAAGGGAAATGAAGCAAGCATCAAAGGCAGCTGTACTGGCACAAGATAAGTATGTCTCAGCTGACATAGTTGCCATCTTAAGACTGCTAAGTTTAGCACTTTTTTTGGGGGGGGGGCTTTTTTTTTCTTTTTAACATTAGCATGCCTAATGAAATGTGGGCAGTTGCCAGTCACTAGAGTACTATGGCAGAATTGGCAATGACTGAATCAATCCATTCAAGCAAAAAATTCATCATGTGCCTACTGTGTGGATAGTTTTAGGAAATCAAAGTTGGCTTCCAGAGGCTTTATAGTGTGATGAGTTCTATAGTAAGTTTACGCACAAAGTACTGACCATCTGCCTGTTCCTCTCCTAAGGCGGTAGCTGAGTTCCTATGCAGAACAGTAGGCAACATTGTCCTACCACTACAAATTTAAGTTCTATGAACCTCAGCTGGATTTCTCCCTCCTACTTTGCATATCCTTCAGCACCTTTATCTCCCTTCCCACCAGAATATTTTTTACAGTCTTTAAATTCTGGCCTCATTGCATTGTATGACTTCAAACTTTACAAGAAAATTAATGGTGTTAGGCACAAACTCCTTCAAATTTCCAAATGCTAGAAAATTAGATACTTCTTTGCTTTTCTCCAGTATCAGAGGAATGAGATACTCGCCGTTCTTATGTCAGATGAATTATTCATCTGTTCCCTGGTTCCATTCCATCTTTCTCTTCCATTTATTATCTTTCTGTCTTTAATCTTCCACATTTCTGGTTCCACTCTATTTCCTTCACGGTCAGGATTTAAAAAATATTCTACGTTCATTGTCTTTGCTATCTGAATTTCATTCTTAATTCTAAATTCTGTACATATGCTATCAAAAATACTCTTTAAAGTAATCCCATTATTTAGAAAAAAATGAGTTATTGCTCTTTTATATAGTAGTGAAATTATCTTGGTGGCACTAGTAGGATGAGGTCAAACTTAATAGATTGGAGTGACTTTCTGTTATTTTTATCTAGCATTTTTTTCTTTTTAGAACCTTCTGACAGAGACTTGACCAGACATTCATGAGACATTTCTTTTTCCTGGATATACAGCTAGAAAAAATTTCCCAGTTTGTCTTGCCATGTGGTTGACTTTTAGTCAATGACATATGAATGGACATGATATGCTTATTTCCAAGCTTAATGGGGTCCTCCCTCTCCCATCATCTTTCTCCATCAGATTGAAGCTGATGAGTATGGAAACCTTGAAAACTATGTGTTGGAGATGTCAGAGCCAGAAGAGAGAAGGAGCATATGTGACTAAATCACTGCTTGGAAGACAACCACATCCAAATTAGAAAACACTTCTTTTTGGACTTCTTATAGGATAGAAAATTAAGATTTGAGAATTTATATCTTCCAAGAACTAGAATGACCATAACTAATCCAGAAATTGGCATCAGAAGTGGGGTACTACTAAGACAATAATCTAAAATAAGTTGTATTGTTTTAGTGATGATACAGCAGATGTTAAAGAAACTGATAGCAGAGGCTGGAAGAAGGAAACCCATGCTTTGCAGTGGCAAAATAATTGGTAAAACTGTTACCTGTGATAATTGAAAACCATAACACCTATCTATTGAGGCTGTAGTCCAGAGGAATAATTCAAAGTTATAGTGTATTTTGAATTTTACTTTTAGATAGATTTTACTAAAGAGATAAGCTTTGTAAATAAAGAAATTAAAGTGCATAAGAAATTTGGAAGGATTAGTAAAGGTGACATTTTCTAGACCTCAAACGGTTAAAAAAAAAAAATGAAACGAGAAGGCCTTGCATACAGTTTCTTTTAAGATTTAGTTCTGAATCAAAGATCAAATGAAAGCTTTGGCCTTCCCATCCAAGACCATTATGTTGGCTGGGATGATGTTTTAGAGAAATTGACATGGGCAAGGAAGCAAAGAAGTAATTGAGTTTTGGCAATTATATAAGAAAGAACTTTGGGAGTAATTACTAGAAGCAAATATGTATATATAAAAGGCAAATATGCAAAATGTCCCTTCTGGAGTTCCACTGGGAGTTTGATCGCTTGCTATGACATGCACTGACCACCAGGGGGGTAGCAAGGAATGAAGGCAGGCCCCGGCTGGCAACATGAAGGCTCCAATCAGCCCTGAAATCTGGCCAGGCCTAGGGACCTCGCCCATGCTCATATTTCATGCACTGGGCCTCTAGTATATCATAAGACTTAATTTCTGAAGGAATTTTATTACTGATCAAATCACGAGCCTGGCCCTGGCTGCTTTTGCCTGGCGTATGCACCAAAGAGTTGTGGGTTGGATTCCCAGTCAAGGGCATGCACCTGGGTTGCAGGTTTGATCCCAGCCCCAGTAGGGGCACATGCAGGAGACAACCAATCAATGTGTCTCACATTAATGTTTCTCTTTTTCTCTCCCTCCCTCCTTTCTTCCAGTCTCTAAAAATCCATGGAAGAAATATCCTTGGGTGAGGATTAACCCCCTCCCCAAAAAATCATGAACGTCATTCAAATAGTATTCAGTTGTTAAACAGCAAGGCAACTGTTCAACCCCAAACTTGCATAAGTAGGAAATAAATGCTTTACAGCTCCCCAGTACCTAAACTGGATGTGGCCATGGGAAATGATGGACAAAGAACTTTTCAGAGGCTAGTATCAGGCTCATACAGTGACAGAGGATCACAAGGGAGTTCCAAAGACTAGATTGAGGTCTCATCAAAACCTCTACCCTTGAGGGAAATGCCTGTGAAATATTTCAGCATTGCTGTTCATGTGTATTGCCTAGTGTCACATTTTTCTCTTCTAAATGAACATTTTGAAGTTATCTGCCCAATATCATTATATTTCCTGGAAATGGGGTGATATGAGAGAGAACTTGTCTTTAGTTCATAGGTTTCATCTGAACCTAATGAAGATCACTGCATTACATGAACATCTAGATTAGGGGTGTCGAACTCAATCAGAGAAGGGGCCAAAATCTAAAATCCAGCCTAAGTCGCGGGCCGAATGGTTTACTGAACAGTCATAAACTGTCATTGTGATGGAAACGCAGCGGAGTGCAGTGATGACAGCGCGGTGTGGGCCACATTGCAAGGCCTGGCGGGATGGATTTGGCCCGCGGGCCTTGTGTTTGACACATGTGATCTAGATTTTAGCCCAGCTGGTGTGGCTCAGCGACTGAACATCGAACCAGGAGGTCACAGTTTGATTCCTGGTCAACATGCCCAGGTTGTGGGCTCAATCCCCAGTGGAGGTGTGCAGCGATCAATGATTCTTATCATTGATGTTTCTATCTCTTCCTCTCTCTGAAATCAATAAAAATATATATTTTTTTTAAATCTAGACTTTAAGCCTGACTTAGTGATTTGGTAGAACTTTAGATTGGTGTGGGATGTGTTCTGTGTATATGAAGAGAGGTAAAATAAATATTTAGTGATCATAATTGTGGACTCTTGTAGTCACTACATTCTTTTTCTGGACACACATTCTATTTCTCAACCTCCCTTGCAATTGGGCTAACTGGTTAGATGTGCCAATTAGGTTCTATTAACTAGGAATATGAGTAGTAATGTGTTCTTATTGCAGCTCTGGTCCATAAAAGTATCACATGAGAAGTCTTCCAAGATCTCCCCATTCACTACAACTTGAGGAAGATGAACACATTTGTATAAGAAGCCATGCATTGAAGATGGTGAAACCACAATGTAGGACTCAGGTTTCCTGAATCATTCATTACTTGGAGGATAGCTGCCTGCCTGTTAGGAATACTTACGTTATAATTCACATGCATTCTTTTGTGTTAAGCCACTGACATGAGAGTTTATTCTAATACGAGAGGCCTGGTGCACAACATTCGTGCACTTGGCGGCGGGGTGGGAGGATGATGGCGGTAATGCCCTCTCACGGTCCAGGACACCTCAGGGGATATCTGCCTGCCAGCTTAGGCCCGATCCCCCTGGGCCTAAGCCAGTAGTCAAATATCCCTCTCACAGTCTGGGACCCTTGCTCCTTATTGCCTGCCTGCAGAGGAAGTGGGGGTGGCACTTCACCCTGTGGGAGTGCACTGACCACCAGGGCGGAGCTCCTGCATTGAACATCTGCCCCCTGGTGGTCAGTGTGCATCATAGCGACCCGTCGTTCTGCTGTTTGGTTGATTTACATATTAGGGCTTTATTACATAGGATAGACCTACCTTTCTTTCCCTGGGTGCAACCATCTATTAGGTCTTAACTCCCATACCACAGGGTGGGCCCATAAACCAGGCCAAAGTACCCTATTCCTCAATTATAATGATTAGTTCAGGAATGGGCAGGTTAATTAAGAAAAATTAAGCTAATCAGAGACAGTCTCATCATTTGGGCTAGCACTGTTGGAAAAAAACAAACAAACAAACGAAAACAACAACTTCCCTCTGGAATTAAGCAAAAACTTAACTATAGCTTTGCCCAGCATGTGGATTGAACTTTCTTGAGAATGAAATTATTTGAAAAAAATGGAAACAGTCTCAATGGTATTGGAGGAGAAAAGAGCCCATGATTTGAGATATATTTTCTGGCTCTTTCCTCAGAGTGGAAACCCTAGGGAGTAAGGATAGATATAGCCAGGAAGACTTCCAAATTAAAAAACAGGGAGCTTATGGCTTGTACCCAGGGTTCCACTTGGAAATTTGCCTAATGCAACAACAATCAAGTAGAAATGGCAGCATAATATGGTTAAGCTGAGAGGATCAGGCAGCATTGAAAACCACTCCTGTGTCTTACTTGACTACAGTGGGCTAAAAAGGAAATACGGAATTTCTCAAGAGGTTTATAAGTGTGATTCACAGTAAGAGCCCAATTGCTTTCCGAGGGTTTGCTGCAAAACAGGATGGTGAAAACTCATGGCAGAGGCTGTGGTATGAATCCATAGGTTGGATAAAGGATCATATTGAGAGGACACTAATATCCCTCTAAGTTCTGAGCTAAGGGTAGAGGGGAAACGGCACTTTGAGAATAGATTGCAAGTTGTAGCAACAATGGACCTTTCAACAATAAATTCAGATAGCATGCTGACCAGATGCCTCTCTATCAATGCCATGATGGTGAAGAACTTACCCTTAGCAACCAGATATAATCTTCCTAGTAGGTAAAAAGAGCCTAATAATACCTTAAACTTAAAATTCCCTGAACTTGAATCCAAAATTGATCTGAAATTTCAAAAACAGATTGTTAAGCTGAAAGAGAGTACAAAACCTCAAAATAGCAAGGTTTGGATTTTTATTCCTGGCAAGTACATAAAATTGTTCCAATGTCAACAAAGATGCCCTGACATGCAGAACTAGTGAGTCTAGGTGGGATGCACACTAATAATAACCTCTTGGTCCTTGGCAATATTTACCATGTTGTAGCAAACAAGCAAGCAAGCATCCCATTGAATTTTAGGTCTTAGACTAGGGGTGTCGAACTCAACCAGAGAAAGGGCCAAAATCTAAAATCCAGCCTAAATCGCGGGCCGAATGGTTTACTGAACAGTCATAAACTGTCATTGTGATGGAAACGCAGCGGAGTGCAGTGATGACAGCGCGGTGCGGGCCACATTGCAAGGCCTGGCGGGATGGATTTGGCCCGCGGGCCTTGTGTTTGACACATGTGTCTTAGACAATGACTATATCAAGATTGAAGTTTTCAAGAATTTGGTAGAAAAATGCCAGGATTTTGGAGTGTGTCCATTAGTGAGTTCTACAAGAAAGAGATGCACTTCAGGTCAAGCTAGCTAACAGAGTGCAAAAGAAAGTATGTATTTTTGACACCCCCTTTCCACATGAACTCAGTAAGCCATGTGACTGAGAATCAAATAAGCCTGCAGATTACACATTTGGAAAACCCACATTCTTTCTCCTGAGCTAAAGTTGATACAAACAAAAATAGGGAGTTGGAAACACAGGAAAAAGTATCCTTTGAACCCTGGAAAAAACCTGATCCTGATCACCTCACGCATCTCTTGCTGTATATAACCTGTCTGACAAAGGTTGTCAAATTAGTCCTATTGGGAGAAGCTATTCACTGAGATGGAACTTGGGGGCAAGGAAACTGATGTAAAACCTAGCTGTATTTCCTTTAAACTCATTCTTCACCTTATAATTTTGGCTCCAACGGTCAAAACAGAAATAGTTAAGTTTAGTTGGCTGGAGGATAGACCTTACATTCCAACCTTGATGCCTATTGCTAAGGGATAGAAAACATTCACATACCATCTCTGTTTTTGGTTGCTAAACCACAGAGTTATCGAAAAGCAAAGTGGCCAGCAGGCAACTAAGATTGCAAGAGAATTTTGTTGACAGAAACATGAAGCCTTGCAAACAAAGGCCTCTGATTGCTTAATTCCATATATGTGGGCAAGAGATAAGTGAGTGTCTTCCAGAGAGCAAACTCAAGACCACTATGTTAACTGACCAAAGACCCCATTTACTAGGTAATTAGGGTACTCTGGCTCTTGTTAAGTCTATAGCACTATTTAAAATTATTTTTATTATGCTGTATCATGAAGAGTTACATCCAGACCTGACCAAAAGAAATGCAGATTACCCAGAACTCTTCGTTTTCAAGCAAGATGCAAAAGTTGGATGAGACTTGGCATGTCTCCCATTGAGGAGAAGAGCTGTTCAAGGGATAATTACATTGTCTTGGTACAGGACAGTGGTCGGCAAACCACGACTCGAGAGCCATATATGGCTCATTGGGCTCTTGAGTGCTCTAACGCCACTTCTTCAAAATAGACTTGCCCAGGCTGAAAACCGACTTCTGCGCATGGGCCATGAAGTTTCAATCTCACTGTACATGCGTGCCCAGCACATGGTATTTTGTGGAAGAGCCACACTCAAGGGGCCAAAGAACTGCATGTGGCTCTCGAGCCGCAGTTTGCCGACCACTGGTCTAGGGCATTAAAAAAATTATATGTACTGAAAGAAGCACAAATATAGGTGCTGGGTAGCCAAAGGATGGAATGTAATAACAGTTCTTGTATGTCCATTCTTTCAGGAAATGCCTTCCTCTTAGCTGGGTAAGCTGTTAATATGTAAATTTTCCCCTGCCCTAAAGATAGACATATGATCAAGATAATCTTTCCAGAGTCATCTATGAAAATTTTACTGAGGCTAGATCTTCTGTTGACTATGTTTGACACAACACGAGAAAGCCTCTCTTACCATATAGCAAGAACAGAAGAAAGCAGATATGAACAATAGAGAATAGAGCCCAGATGATATCACTTGACATCCAGTATCATAGGCTCACCCATTGTTCTTCATTAATTAAATGGCCAGTGAGTTCTGCCTTTTCTCCTACCCACTCCTGCCACTCTTGTTTAAGCCATTTTAAG